CCTCTCCTCTCCTCTCCTCTCCTCTCCTCTCCTCTCCTCTCCTCTCCTCTCCTCTCCTCCAGGCTGATCAGCCCCAGCTCTTTCAGCCTGTCTCACAGGAGAGGTGCTCCAGCCCTCTGATCACCTGCCTGGCCCTTCTCTGGACTTGCTCCAACAGCTCCATGTCCTTCTTGTGTTGGGGTCCCCACAAGTGGACATATATTCAAGTGTGTTCCTCTTGAGTAAATCATTACAATATAATGCTATGCCATACCTCATCACAATGCCAGAAGGCAAATTTCTGTGCTGATTAGAGAATCAGAATGCAACATAGGAGCCTTGGCTTGGATTCCTGGATTTGTCACTGGCCTCCTATATAGCTCTGAGCAGACAGCTTCACATCTCTGTTCCTCCAGTTCTCCCATCTGTGAAAAGACAATAACATTTTTATGTTTTATGATTTATAAAGATAGCTATGTGATGGATTTCCAAAGATTGCTTTTATTTTGGAAAATACAAGCACATGAAAAAAGGGGTATATTGCTGTAAACTCACTGGATAATAGGAGACACATGAGGCTGTTTGCTTTAACAGATACTTCAGAGATAGAGTTTCTTCAGATGTATTCCTTGTAAAATTCATCATGTCCAGCCAATGGTTGCATATACTTCTGGTTTTAGAGTCCTCGTTTGCCATGGCAAATGAAATGCATGCACGTTATAGAAACAGCCCAGAATTCAAATAAGCCTCTGCAAAAAAATGAGAGCTCTGAATTTGGTCAAATCTTCCTACTCTCTTAACTCAGCCTATTGAACTCACACTGAATGGAATAACCTTACCATTGGAACTACTTCCACATCCTTATCTTTTTACTCCACCTACGACATTCTGAACTTCTACCATCAGTAGTCACCAAGTTACCAAGTACTTGTCCCAGAAGGACGAATGCTACGTAACTGGACATCACTTACCTCTCACCAACCTGAACAGCAGTGCCTCTGCACAGAGGAAGTAAGAATGCTCCAGAGCATTGCATATATTTCTATTCCTCTTTTTCATTGCCTTTTTTTCCCCTTTCTAATCTGCTTTCTTTCATTTGGGTTCTTTGCCATTTTATAACCCTACCCTGAACACCAGAATGACAGCTATTGATTCTCCATCTAAAAACATATACTTTCAGCAGAAGCATCATATATTTTAAACTCTGTTAAGAGCAGAACAGTGGTAATCCACACTGCAGTCTGAATCCACACAGGACCACTAAACACTGCACACTGTGCAGGATGTAACATCAATTCATGGAGAGAAAAATACGTAACAACCTCACCCAAACTAGCCGCAGGTAAACTCAATTAGAGAATTGCAGCTTCACTTCTCCTCAATTCCTCTCTTTCTACTTCACTACTTCTCTCCATTCTCCTCAGAGAAAAAGAAATATTAAATACTGTGCTGTACCACAGCAAATTCCTCACTGAGATCCGTCGAGGTGAGATTTACAATATGCCCTTTTACCATCAAATCAAAAAGTTCCAGAGTTGCATATCATTTTCACATTTTTTTCCAAAATTGGTTATTTCAATACTTCTTTCTATTTACTAAGTACATTTTTTTTCCTCCAAGATCTGTTTTAAAGACTTGCACCCTTGATCTTTTTACCCAGATTAACAAAGCTGCTCTTGTCACCGTGACTCTTCCCTTTTATAAGACACTCAGGCATGTGGTTTCATACACCTATTTTGTCTGAATTCTGGATTAACAGCTGCCCCATTCCACTTGAGTATCCAGACTTCGCCTTATTTCTTCATCATTTTAGACCAGAGGTCCAATGCAGATTCTATTTCATCTTGCCCCTGCCTTCACTGCAGAGCAGCCTTCCTTTCTTCCTCAGTCTTTTCTAGATGAATAAGTTTTCCTTCTATTGGTTCTTACTTCATTCCTACATATCCTGCTCTCTGACTCATCACTTTCTCTGTCAATTCCTCTTCTGTCTTTGCACTACCTACAGATGTATTTTCACTGGTGATTGCCCATCAAATTACATAAGGTGCCCTTACCATTTTTTCCTTTGTTTGGGATACAAGTTCTGGATAGTTTTTACACTTGAGGGAAAAAAAGAAATAACCTCTACAGTTCAGCTCCTTGATTCTTCTTGATGCGGATCACTTCAACAGTTAACTCATGTAGCTTATCAAAACTTTTTATCTTCAAAATCAGGAACCTTAACTACAGTTCTGCTTCTATTTAGTCTTCTATTTAATGCAAATGCAGTAGGCTTGTGAGTATTTGTTTCCAAGTTCCTTATATGTTGATTTTTCTTTTCTTTTTTTTCATGGTCTTCATCAAAAGTAAGTCTAAAATAGGTTCAGTTGAGAAGTCATTTGGTTACCTACTCTATCTATAGGTATGGGCCCTACCTTGAGAAGTAAGGCCCTACTTCTGCATGTCTTTCACTAGAGATCACAGAATGAATCATAGAATCATAGAATCATAGAATGGCCTGAGTTGAAAAAGACCACAATGATCATCTAGTTTCAACCCCCCTGCCATGAGTAGGGTAGCCAACCACCAGACCAGGCTGTCCATAACCACATCCAGCCTGGCCTTGAAATACAGAGTTACATGTCTGTATGAGATACAGATGTGATACATCTAGGAAATATAAATTATCCCAAAATATGTCATTTCCAGTTGTATTTATTCACCTAATTATACTATTTGCGACCTGATAATAAGGATGGGATGAGAGTTCCATCCTTATCATAGTGATCCATGAGATTACTGCAGCAGTGATCTAGAATGATCCCTACTTGTTTTAACTAATGTTTCTCAAAGGAATTTTAAGGCACATTTTGTGTTCAGCCAGCAACAAGTCTGCCCATTTTTTTTTTTTTTTCTGAGGGACAATTTGAGACAAATTATTTTTTTCTTTTAGAAAGCCAGTATATAAAATTTTCAACTGCCAAAGCACATGCATAATCAGATAGCACAAAACCTAGGGCTGCTGGACTTCTGGCTGCACTAACACTGATGTACCTCAAAAAAAGCAGCTGCCCAGCAGTAAGGAAGCCTCAGAGCTGGATATCCGAAAGAGGTAACAAGTCTGAGAATCTGGGAGGCCTGAGGAGGAGAACCAGGTTTGAGCCTCCACCAGCCTGGGAGGAGGGAACTGGAGAGCTGCAAGCCCTCTTCACAGATATGGAAGGAGCTGGCTGCGCTGAGGCAGGGTGGGAAACCAAAATTAGTCCTTTCTAATGGTGTTCCGTTCTAATAGGTTGGAGCCCACCCTAAAGATGAGCTCACCCACTGTTATGTCCCATTGCACCCTTGCTCAGAGCATCCCAGAGGCTGGCCCAGCAGGGACCCAACTGCCCCCATCTGCTCCTTTGGGGTTCCACTGCCATACGTCAGAACACTAAAGTGGCCATTTCCAGCCCTTTCCCACTGGGAACGTTTTGACACTGCTCTTCCCTACAGAGCAATAGCATTTCCAGTTACCACTAAAATATGTCAAACTTTCACAAGCGTTAAGAATGTGAAGCAAGAGCAGCATTTCAGCCACCAAATGAGTAATACCTCTGAAGAAGACTTAACAAAAAGTTTGTGGGAATTTTTGTCCAGCTTTATTTACTGCTACAAATTGCTTACCAGATCGAGCCTGTTCAGACTGCTGTGCTTGTTACACCAGCAGAAAAACAGCTTTAACTCTGCAAGTCCTTTTTTTCTTGCAGTGTACTTTCACTCACTTTCACTAACACGATACAAAAATGATGCCTTGGGATTACAATTGCGTGATGGAAACTTTTTACTACACTTCAGTGAACCTTAAGGGAAAACACGTACATATATACTGTGGATATTATGTGGATTTCCAGGAACCCTGTCAAAATTATCTCATGAAACAACATTAAAAAAAAAAAAAAAAAAAAAGACAACTAGGAAGAAAACTGCTTCATTAACTTCTTCCATTACTCACACCAAAGGGTAGATGTAAAATCAAAACTCAAAGCATTATTTTCAGAAGCCTTTTGAAAATGTGGCTGGGTTTCCTACCCTATTACCTCTGTGAGCCATGCAGACAATGAGTAGTCCGTGATCTTCTGAGCATCAAAACAACACCTAAAGCAGCAATGTAATTCCATATCACGGCCAAAATGCTGAATTATTTAATCCGAACCACAATGTACTTTGCTTATACATCTGAAAAAAGAAAGAAAGAAAGAAAGAAAAAAATAGGGTATGATGAAACAGAAAACTCTCTTTGTGGTTTTTTGTATATCATCCTTGCCACTTTCATAATTAGAGGACATAGGCTACCATTAAAGTCAATTGCAAAGTTCTCGTTGACTTCAGTAGATGTAAACCAGGCATTAATATTATGCTTTTCAGTTTTCTTGAGGTTTAAACACCCCATAAAATAAATTTACAGATGAACTAGTAAATGTACACTTACAAAGAAACCTCCTAAGGAGTCCCTGAAGCCATATTTTTAAATGCTGCCATTCATTTGGTTCCTATCGACCAGATTAAGGGACTGTCAAACAAGGGTGCATAGATCAAGAGCTGCAATAAGAAATGCTGAAAATACACTCCAGAAGTCTAAGCTCAAAAATATCATTTGACATACTTGACAAAATGGACTTAGAAGAGGGTTTCATGTTATGTGACATGTTTCACGAGCACAAAAAACCCTATCTATTTATTTATCTGCCTATCCATTTCACTGATCTGTAAATGAAAACATGTACAGTAGACGCAGCAATTTTTTTTTTTTTTTTTTTTCCAGGAACCCTTTCAAAACCACTCACATAAAAATACAAGAAAAGCTAATTGAGAAAGAGAGTCTAACTGATGAGAAGTCAGAAACACTACCATCCGGAGCTGACATTTTCTTCTATACAACTATGTGCCCATTGGGCATAATTTTTGATCTTGCAGACTTTCCACATGTAAAACTCCAATTGACTTCAGTGCAAATGAATGAACTGCAGGATCTAATTAAGCCTGATGAGGTTTGAAAAACAATCTCATACGCTGCCTGAACATTTCCATGAATTACAAAAATTTTCAAGATACTTTGCCTAGCTCATTGCCAAATAAGCATCTGCAAATATTTAGAAGGATAATGTGTAAATATAAATATAAGGTGAGCATTAGATGATAAGCAGATATAAGGAGCTAACAGTTACCTGAACTGACTTGATGAAGGCTTTATTAATGGAACATCATACATGACATTACCATACAAAGAGTGGTGAATGATGGATGACATTTGCATAATAATCTTGCACTATTGACATGAGCAGAAAGGCCCTTTTGACAATTAATAACCACTTGGGAAATGTTTGCCTATTACCACACAGAAGCATGGTAGGAGAGGCAGGGATATTGTCCAGCTTTCCAGGGTAGAATTCAACCACCTCAACTTGTTTTCTTTTTCTACCACATCCTGATTCACTCAGGAAAAGCCTTGCTACATGTGAGCTTCTCTACATGTGAGCTGGAGTTCTGCAGTTGCCATCCATCAATTCTGCTCAGTGCTGATTCATCTCCGAAGCAGATACATGCTAGATGTATGGCCAAAACCATATGAGAATAGACAGCATACTCACAAAACTCGAGTCCGTGTTACAATGCAAACATGTTTTGGAAGCAAAACGAGGCTGCAGAAATCAGCCTTTTATTCTTAATTTTTGTAAACTGATCCTTGTAAATTCAGTGTTACCTTAACATGGTGTTCTCCATATACCTGCTGTTACAAAACTAATGAACCTTACCTGTTCTGCATTCAGATGTGGAGTACTCAGTACAGGAGAGACATGAAACTCTTGGAGCACATCCAGAGGAGGGCCACAAAAATAATCCAAGGGATGGAACTCCTCTTCTATGAGGACAGACTGAGAGAGCTGGGGCTGTTCAGCATGGAGAAGAGAAGGCTCTGAGGTGACCCAAGAGCATTTCTTTCAGTATCTAAAGGGGAGCTGTAAGAAAGAAGGGGACACTCTTCAGCAGGGTTCGTTGTGATAGGACAAGGGGAAATAACTTCAAACTAAAAGAGGAGAGATTTAGACTGGATGTAAGAAAGAAGTTATTTGCAACAAGGGTGATGAGGCAGTGGCACAGGTTGCCCAGAGAGGTGGTGGATGCCCCATCCACCCAAGGTCAGGCTGGATGGGGCTCTGAGCACCTGATGGAGCTGTAGGTGACCCTGTTCATTGCAGGGGAACTGGACCAGATGGCCTTTAAGGGTCCCTTCCAACTCAAATGATTCTATGATTCTAAGACTATTTCCACTATGTGGCATCATACCCACAGAGGGCCACCATCTGGGATGGTGCCCTCAGGCCCACACAGACTAACAGAGAGACTGATGGCAAAGAATCACGGAATGGTGGTCTAACTGAGGTTGACAGGACCTTAGGAGTTCATGTGGTCCACACCCCAGTCATAATAGGACTAATGTCTACATTATGTTTGGCTCCCAAGGCCTTCTTGGCCATTCTTTATGTCCATTCAGGAAATTGGCAAAGAAATCGTGCTGAAGGCTGGCCAACAAATGATAAAATTTGAGAGCCCCACATTTCCTTTAAGGGCAACAGGGACAGGCTGCAGCTCCAAGTAAAGGCCAGGGGCAATACCAGAGGGGTCACTTCCAGCCCAGCCACTGGTGCACCCAGCTGGTGACTGCTCAGCCATTCTGTGAGGACGATGTATGGAAAGTCTGAGCGTGAAAAGGAGCTGTGTGAGGCAGAGAAGATGAAATCTCTGGAAATATTTGCTGTTAGGTCTTAGTAAATCTCTATGGAATATTTGGTAACTGTGTTTTTTTCCACTTCTTGAAACAGTCGACCAAATTTGAAAAGCTTTGTGGAGATGGCAAAAGACGTATACCTGATTCAAAGGAAGAGAAAGGTCTGTCTTTGCTCTGAAACCTCTTAAAACTCAGGGTCGCATTATTATTATTTCTTAAGTAGAATAACAATTTTGTTGTTGCTGGTTTTTTTTTTTTTTTTTTTTTTTAACCAGCCTTCTTATAAGAAGTTAAATCACTTTGACTAATACTTAAAAAAAAAAAATCTAGAGAATGACACCCCATATAAATATATTTGACCCAAATGTGAGTTTGGCTAAGTTCTAAACTGAGAACAGAATCTTATAGCAGAAAACATTAGAAAAACTTCCTCAGGGGCAGAGCTGCCCATCCTGCCTGCAATAATGTTTGTTAAGCACTCTGGAATCCGTAGACACGAACAGAACCATGTAACCAAAGCTTCTGGTCTGCATTGCCCCACTCCCTCTTTCTGCTGCAGTAACTTACTGTTAATTATTGTTATGAACCACAGCTGGCTGGTGGGAGCACCAGGCAAGCATGCTTTCCTCTGGAACTAAACTCCGGGAAAAGAAAAAATTCTGAATATGCATTGCATCAGGATTAAAGACAAATTCTGAAGTTTGCTTCCAGAGAAAATGCTGGTGCATTCAAAGCCTATTAAGGTACAGGGGAGGGAGTGCCAAAGGACGAGAGCACTCCGCAAATACAGCTGCAATTCCATGAAGTCAGAGCAAGCAGCCCACAAGATGAAGTAAGTAAGGGATGCAGTGTAACAGCCCACAAAAAAAAAACGGATCTTGCTGTTGAAACCATTTGGACCACGAGACCCAAAAACTGATGATATTAAACATAAAAAATACAGCCGTTGTCTTCAGGTCAGGTTTTAATTGTGGATTTTATCTTACAGCTCTAAATCCCAATTGTTAAAATGTTTCCTCTACTGTAATTATTATTAAGGTATTTCTTTTTAGGCTTCCAGTATGGGACATCACTTACTGGTAAGGGATCACGGGTGAACTGTCCAACCTGTCATACTGAGCAGAAAGTTTGCCACTGATTTCAAAGAGCTGAGATTTTTACCTGCAGGAAATCAAGGTAAGTGGGAAATAATACACATTTTATCCAATTAAAAAGCGAAGCTCATGCATTTTCAGGTTCTCAGCCCACAGACATTTCCTTTTTCTGTCAGAAAAATACAGTTGGGAGGATATGTAACGTAAAGTACAAAAAAGGTGCTGTAACACAGAGAAGGCCAAGGGGGCCAAGGCTGTAAATTCCTTCCATCGACATGGTAATCTGTATTTGTAAAAGGCCAATATTGAGCAGGCAGCGAAAACAGAAATGCATAACCACATCACATTGTTCCACTGCCAAAAACATTCATACTAATTTCCACCATCAAACGCACAGTATGATTACTTAAAGGGTTGTTGTTTTTTTTTTTTTTAACCAATCCAACTTATAAAAACAAAATCCTCAAGATGGTGTAACTTCACATTTTCATATTCTGTAACATGAATATCCATCAAATTGGCAACAATCCCTACCTTGTGTACAAGCCTCCTTCAGGGTCATTAATGTGGAATCAACTCCTTGCAGTAAGTAAACACTTTTTTTCCTTGGTTTTTATGTTGAAAATTGAAAATTAATCTTGCAAGTCATGTTGAACCAGGAAAACAGGGTTGACAAAGCAAGCACTGTAGTCTGATATCTTTTATTAGGCCAACTTAGAGTTCAAAAATATGCAAGCCTCCTTGACCACACACAAGTTCATGTATGCAGAACTCCAGGCTGGACCCATAAAATGGATTAAACTACTTGCTTTGTCACTCCATATATATATATACACACACAGTATATGTATGTACATACACAGTATATAATGAACACGCATATACATTTTCAAGGCTTCAGAATAAACTGTTCTTTGATGCAGCTTTAAAATAACAGCTCTGAAGGACTTCTGCTGGTTGGCATGTAACCATGCTATGGGTCAATGGGTTCCATAAAGAAAATGAGCAGTGCACACAACAAATCCTACTTCTGATTCCTAATGAGTTGTAATTCCTATGCAAAAACTCACGACTCCTGCTAACTGCTAAATATTATTAGCAGTTCCTTGCTTTTAATGGTAATAGTGAGAATAGCTGGCAATATGCTAATATAATAGGAATAATAATGTAATTCACACCAAGCTTTGTAGAAAGAACAATAAAGAAGGTTACTAAACTTACAACTATAACACTTCAGAATGTCCTCTGCAAGTAAAACCCTCTGTAAATGGATATGTCTCTCCTGCACAAGAATTCAAGTGTTTGTAATGTTGCTACGTGTCCAGAGCAAGGTGTGTGCATAACCTGCTCACCTCTGCTTTTCCTCCCACAAGCATGTATAAAGATCACCGCCCAGCTCTTCAGCAGCCCTCCATCCAGAGGATGAGTCATCTGCCTGCACAACAGAAGGGCACTGGTGGGAGATCTATTCCAAAGAGCATGCAAAGAATTACAGGAACGAAAGGAATTGCTCTTCTTTCTTCAAGTTCTGGTGACTGGGAAACTCCTTAACGGTGTTTCATTAAAAGGGCAGTCATGCCAGTAAAAGCTAGCTCTGCTAGGACAAAAACTGAAGAAGCAGTGCCTTTCTGCAGCGTCAAACCTCTGTGCCACTACCCTCAGCACTGCTTCCCAAGTGTGAGTATCAGCACTTGTGTGGCATCTCTGCATCCCTCATCTGCTGGAATTCAGCCAGCATGGGCTGTGGCAGCACCTTGTATTCTAGTTGTGTATGCCTTGATAAGGGCTGGTGGATCTAATCTCCTTACATCAAAGGTGGCTCTGATGCAGGCTGCTAACTCATTCTGAGTGCATTTGAGGCCGTGGCTAAGTATTTGAAGACTCATTCCTGTATAATAAAGGCTGTTTGTGACCAAAGAGCATCGCAGATTTGCTGAAGAGCTTTGTCTACCTCAAGTAATACATTAATGGTCTCCTAACATTCAAGGATGATCAACATTTTGATCCTCTTACCGGTGAACTGGGTCTTGGGGAAAAAAAAACTATTGGTAAGTGGATATACTGATTCATAAGAAACCTGAAACCACCTTTAGAATACATTTAAGATGTTGCCTCAGAGTCACCCTATCCACCTGAAAATAATATGGAGGATTAGACATAAAAGCTAGGACTTTATTTATCCGTGAGCTGAGGTAATGGCTACTAAAAATGTGGATTTCATTGACAGATGACTTAGTGAACGTGATGACAGCAGCTCAAACGTGGCTCCATTAAAGATAAAAGTAACATGCTTAAATCTCATGAGAAGGGATTTTTTTCTTATTGGTAGAGTATGTATGTCAAGACCTTTAGAAACCTAAGAACCACATAATGAGAAAATAACGAAGAATCAGCACTCGTAAGTGTCTGACTGAAGTTCCCACTAAATGGGCTTTGATAGATCATTTTTCTCCTGGCAACAAAGACACCAGAAGGATTGTCTGGATTGTAGCTCTTACTGCAACCTATGATGAAAAACACTTCCTATAGCCAAGTAGAAATCCACAGAGAGGACTTTCTCCCTAGAAATAGCCACGCATTTTTGCACTTCTAGAGTGAATCTAGTCCAGAGGTATCATCTGAGAACATCAGCACCATCAGAGGCACCATCAGAGGCAGAGGAGATGCCAAAACAATACTGGACAAAAATATTGAGCCACTGTGTTCCTTGAAGACAGTTTAACCGGTGACTGGAAAGATACTGAAGAACTAAAACCAAAAATGAGTTACGCTTTTGGTTGTGAGAGCTCAGCCTGCACTGTTGCAGAGCCAGCTGTACAAACTTTGCAGCCTTTCCTTGTGCAGCTGGCACCAGTGAGGGTGGCTGAAAGGCGAGCTGAGAGCTGCCCCCCTTCCTCTGTGGGATTCAGTGACAGCTGACTACTGCTACTGTACGGGTCTCCTGGAAACACTGACCTTAGTGACAGTGATGGCCTTTTTTGGCCCTCAGTATCAGCCCTCCCATTAACAGGGCACTAAAGGT